CAATCACAGCAGATGGCCCCGCCCCTCCCTGAGCCTGGTTCTGTCGGAGGTTTCTTCCTGTTAAAAGGGAGTTTTTCCTTCCCACTGTCGCCAAAGTGCTGCTCATAGGGGGTGATATGATTGTTGGGCTTTTCTCTGTATGTATTATTGTGCGATCTACTGTACAATATAAAGCACGGCTGTATAAATAAAATTGATTTGTGTAGAAAAGCGATTTAAGTGACTTTGACCATGGTGTGATCGTTGGTGCTAAATGGGCTGCTGAACTATTACAGACCACATCCACAAAATTGTCTTAACGCACTTTGTGCCCCTGAGTATCAGATGAGCATTGTCCGAACACCACAGCCTACCTGAGCACCGTCCGTCCCTTTATGACCACAGGTCTGCAGGGGTGGCATGTCACAAAGCTCGGATCATCCCGGACTGGTTTCTTGAACATGACGGTGAGTTCATTGTACTGGGATGACTTCCACAGTCCATTGCATCACTGGTGAAACAGGAATGTGTCGCTCAGCGATGATTTGAATTAATCTTTCTTACACAAGTTTAAAGGTGCACGGACGTGTTACAGTAGAGAAGTAAAGGCGAAGAACAGATTGCATGAATCGCATGCTTTAGCCTTCTTCATTATGCATTACATATATTCCTGTCTGTTCCTACAGAGACTGGCTTAGTGTTGTCTAAAGCCAGCGTTCCCTTTGTTAGACACATTCTTGTTGGCACTGCTTTCTGTGCCCTTTGTTTCCCTGTCAGTTTAGCCTTGATCAAATATTTATGTTTCCACGCTGAACTCCTCACCCTTCTTCCCCAGTTGGTGTCTTCTTGCCCCGTCTCTGACGACATTTGCACCTCTGTTACCCAGCACCACCGCTGCCTTTCTGCCTTTTCTGCGTCTCTGGCGTCTGGCTGTGCTATCTGACCTTTCCTCTTCCTGTGCTGCTCTGTCACCCTTTTTGTTGACTTTCATGTTCTGCGTTGATTAATTGCAAAACAAGGGAAGTGTAAACTAAAAGTGGGGCTTGTTGTCAGACAAATTAGTGGTAGTAAATTCTGGAGCTTTGTCTTTGAAGCCCTGCCCGTGTGCGATGGCCTCCGGGTCACTGTGTTTACTACAGCTGTGAAAGTCGGATGTTTTGTGTATCAGTAGGAAAGGTGTACTTCTTTGGGACCTCACAACGCTAATGGTGCCGCTCTGTGAAAGCTCAGTGGTTGTTGTGTTGTTGTCAATGTGTCCTGTTGATATTTTATCTACAAATTCATGATTCCCAGAAGAATAATTGCGCCGACGTCCTGCACCACTGTAGTGCTGATGGCTTGGATCTGCATTCATGTTTCGTAAGAACCAAAAAATGTCATTTGAATTCTTTTTATATGGAGGGTATATGACAGAGATCTGTGACAGTAAAAGCGCAGCTCTGGATATTCTCGTCCATCAGTGCCTCGTGTTGACTAAACCTGAGGTGTTTTATTTTAGCTGAATCATCACGATTGCAAATATCAGTGCCCTGAGTTATAACAATGTAGTTAAACAAATTCAACATGATAACATGTCCTCATAATCATCAGTCTGCACACGAATGGGAAAAAGAGATGACGCATAAGCTTAACCTCATCGTCACAGTTTGGTCCATATGTGACTGATGATGGGTACTTTTAGCTTCCTGCAGGTTTGATTAATGACTGTCTGCTCCGCTGCAGCCAGGTCCACCCTGCACGCATTTTACTTAAACCAGTGTGAGTGCATTCGTAGCTATACACGGCACTGGAAACACTTGATGCGAAACAAAGGATTTCCTGAAAACAGGAGGCAGACCAGCTCACCTGTAACACACACATCCTTGTGTACAGCGAGTCTGGGAGATAATCCTGGTTTGTTTCTTATGTAATATGGAAACAAACTCAAATATTTGTTCTGTCTGGCCTTATTTCTTCCACTTCTGACGCAAGTTTGTCACAAAATGAAACTAAAACAAATCCTCGGGATTTATAAGACAGAACAGAAAAACTTTGTTGAGATGGAGCCGGTCAAAGGTCACCATGATCCCGTTCTTGTGAATGCAGAACACCTGGAGGAAATATCTTTAAATTTAGCACAATTATTGCATCAGATTCAGGAATAAACTGAGTAGAATTTGTTGGTCAAAGGTTAAACATCTTCTGTGACTTCACACAAACTTAAATGAGGACACAACCTGTTAGATAATCGTGCAAATGATAGAAAACGTGCACTGGTGTCTAACAGGATAAAAGAAGTGACGCTATTATCTACACAAATAGGCAAAGATGTTCTGCAAAAAGGCTTTTGTGTCTGAACTTAAACACCGTGTTCACTAATCAACGAGGAGGCGGAGACCGTCTCAGTGTTAATGCACAAAATCCCTTAAAGGCTTCATAGGACACGAGTCTGGCCTAGAACCCACGGACACCAGTGCTGCGTGTCCTCGTTAACGTGCTGTGCCAGGCCGTCGCTGCAGCCGCCTCAGCTGCTGCTTGTTTGTGGGTCTCTCAGCGTTTGGTTTTTGCATTTAAAAACTAAAAAGCGTGTTTTTGTGAGTTCAGGCTGTGACGTGCATTTGGACCTCAAAGAATTATTACCGCGACACAAGCTTCACCTCTGAAATGTAAGAACACGTGTGTGAAACTGGTTGTCAGTCACCTGCAGCTTCGAGTTTCTGAGGATGTTTGTATAACGATGTAACTTTTGTTTAACCCTGTAAAGCTGAACGTCTGGTAAAATAAAAACAAAACTGCATAACTAACATCAAATGGTTGTTTATTCTTTTATTAAATATACAGTATTTACATGAATAGTAGCCATGAAACAGTCAGAAGTTGAAAACACTGCAAATAACACGACTTTTCACTGTGTTTCTGTTGTTCTCCTGACATCTTTTTCATGTCCAAACGGATCCACAATAATCATAAAAGCAGGCTTCTGTTTCCTGCCACAGACCGGACGTGCTCAGCCTGCTTATGACGAGAGAAGGAAGCAGTAAAGCCTGAAAACAGCACCGAAACTGGGACAGTTCATGAAGACTCAGCTGTTTTTCTTTCTTTTCTTTAAGCTGATCATCAAAACAAAGTGTTTTCAGTCAAATTCATGATTCCTCTTTTTGACATCCAGTGTTTACGACTTCGAGCGACTCGGCTGACGTGACCACGTGTTTATGACTTAATGGACGTCTGTACTGTCATCCAGGCTACGTTAGCATCTGTTTCTCACAGCCCAGTGAGCAGCTGTTGTCTGAGTCTTTGTTACATTTTTAATGTCAGCGGGACGAAATTTCATCGTCAGCAAACAAAAGTATTTTTCCAGAGTCAGTTTTTCTACCTGCACAGAGAGACACACAAAAGGACACATGCACACCTACTTCTTACATTTACCTGGGTACAAACATGCTTCAGAGCAGAAGTTCAAAAACACACGATGCAGTTACTATATGGAGGCAAAGCATCTGCACACTCTAGTATATACACAGGCTTTAAAAAACAACGTCCTGAGCGCTGTGGGCTGGATTTGCCTCTCTCCTCTCTCTGACCACCAGGACGCATTATTTCATTTCACCTGGAAGATAAAACATCAAAAAATTGTAAGCAAAGTAAGCTGGACGTGTAAAGGTCTCATCCCTGCTCAGCATCAGTATTTTATCATTGTCACAGGGATGATATCTGCAGGCTGATGAAGCTTCGAGCTCGCAGTCAACAGCAATCTGAAGGTTTACCGTTGGAGCTTTGAAGATGCCGGTTATTCCTACAGAAGTCCAGTTAGTTGGAGTGTGTCTGCCCTGCAGCGAGGACGCCTGAAAGCCTGCAGGTTTAGCGCCGGGCTGCAAAACAAAGGGCATTTAACGTTAGAACAGTCAGAACATTAGTGCAGCTTTCTTTTGTCATCTCGCTTCTCCATCCGCCCTGCAGCTGCTGCAGATTCTCAGATTCCTGTCCAATTCCCCCTCACCACCTCACCTCTGCACTGACGTCTATGTAATCACCAGATCTGCTGTGATTTCACAGCTCAGAGGTGGATGACACTCCGAGGAGGATGTGACATGATTACATCTCTGCTTTTGGGGATAAATAATAATTCCGATTGGAG